CTAACAACAGTGATGGTATATGATTTTTAGCGTGTTTCCTTGCGGTATCCAACCTCAATCATGTGACGAATTAGGGTGAGTTCATTCGCTAATTTGCTCATGAATTATTAATGAGTTTGAGATTTATAAGTCAACATTTTATTTTTCTATACCAGTTACCTGCAGACCATTTTCCGAGAACCTTTGCTCGCAGGCATTTTGTTTGGTAAGAGTGATCAGCTTTGATCCCTGGGATCTTCACCTCGCAGTAAAGATTGAAAGTAATTATCGTCGCTTGCAAATTTGGAACTGATCTTTTCCACTAGGAAAGAAAAAACACAAACTAATTTTACACATAGCTAAAGAGAAATAAGAATGAGTTCATTTACGTACTTTAAAATATATGTTGTCGCTCAAGACATTCAAATCAACGTAAGATTCATCCAACCATTCCAGCTCCATTTCTGTGGCGTTGTCTGGGAACTTTACCAGAATTTCTCTCAAGGAACAACTCTTCATGACTACGGTTGGATTGTTTATGTCAAAGAACTTCCTGGTTGGTTCGTTCTTGTTGTAAGGAATAAGTCGAAAAGGTCCCAATGCGCAGTTTTCGGATCCTCCTATATTTACATAATATTTAAAATAAGATTGATTTTTTAACGGAACGAACTAAAGAAATTTGCAACATTGACAAGTCACTCACTCTTGCCGTTCATTCTGGCTATTAGCCCGATACGATTTGCAAGGAGTCTTTCATATAATTTTTATTATCTTTATATATTATTCTGACATGATGCAACAAAGATCAGAGTTTGGATTAAAGTTAGGATTGCATGGAATTGGTTTTACGATTGTATTGTAAGTTAAGCCTGCATGGTTCACACAAGCAATTTTGTCAGCGATATTGTGTTTTTGACGGATGCACATGAGTAAACTCGCACACAGTATAGAGTAGCTTTTCAGAAGTAAACAATTCTAAGGTAGTTTATCCCCCCTGTCTCGTACGCCTATGTTAGTGCAGAGAAAACTGCTTGAACACAGTACTCTTTTGATACTGAAATGCAACTTCCAACATTATACAAGTAAGCTTATGATAAATTCCATAATGTTATCTGACTATAATAATAATGGTTAACACAATTTATATTATTATAACCAATAACTGTAGTTAACCAAATAATAATGGGTTATCTCCACCAATTTGATTACAAATACTACATAGCGAATTAATTTGCATAATTGTTCTGGAAATGAGAATTTTCTGAAACGTCCCAGGGGTGAAGTTTATGATATGCTCATTGTTTTACCAGAAAAAAGTTAGGGTCACTGAACTCGTTTCGTTCATCTTGAACCTTTTACGAGTTACAGGAACAATCTAGTGATTAGGGCTATATACAAGAAAACATGGAATTTTAGCCAATCAAAAATCATTGACGTGCATTGTCGTGGTGCAAAGATATCTTTCTCATCTTCTCAGACATGTTATTTTGGAAAGCATGCGCGAGGAATGTAAAATATCATAAATTGTAGAAATGATTTTTCTCTTATTTTCTGATGACATGTAAAACGTATAGTAGAACAAAAATATAAAATAAAAAAGTCGGGTCACGGACCTTAATTCTTAAAGAGATACAAGGGTTAAACATGCAACATGCATGATGTGGTTTAGTGTTAGTTGCACAGAAGACCTACTTAAGAAATTTCGTCATTTCTGAAGGTATATTTCCTGAAGCACGCCTAACCAATGCAGAGTGTTTTTCTCTTTGCCCTTACTTTTTCTTTATCGCTTTACATTGCAGTTCAACAACATATATTAGCTAGAATTTGTTATTAGATGTGCCCAGTAAAATTGTGCAATGCAAAACTGATGAATCACCTTAAATAAACCTATTTTTATTAGTTATGACTAATCATTCAAACTTGCCCAAATAATAATTTGTTATGCTGCCCAGGTTATATTGGTTCTAACCTATTCAATTGGTTAAACTGATAATTTTTATTGGTTATAGCCAATCACTTACAATTGACCAAATGATAATAGGTTATTTAATATTAACCTATTTATATTGGTTCCAGCCAAGACTTCAATTGGTTAAATCAACTATTAGTATTGGTTGCAACCTTTAGAAATATAGGTTATTTTAACCTACCAGTTTTTACAGTGTAATTACGGCAAAACTGGTGGGTTTAGAATAAACACGTATATTGTCTGTAAATATTATTGTGCACCATGTCAGATATAGATTTAGCAAAAAAGCCTTCATGGAAAAATCCAATAAGCAAGTTTAAGAAGCATTTTTTTTCAATGTCAACGTCACGTATTTCCAATGAAAAGTGTTCAAACCTAAAGTATTTCTGGCGTTCCTCTCAAAATTACTTTGTTTTAGCTTTAGCCTACTTTGTACTTTAAACAGTTAGCAACCTTTTTAAATGTATCTGGCGGTTGAGAAACACAAAATAATAGTTAAATATTGTCAATTTAAATGCAATTATCATTGATGCTGTAAAATTGACGCCATATTTATACAGCAATATAAGCAAAACTTACTGAACTTCAAACATCATTTTCCCTTTGGCGTATCATCTAAAATCTCTACATCAGTTTAGCTTTATTTTACAGTTAAAGTAGCTACTAAACATACTTTTTAAGTCTGTTTCATGCCGCGCTTGAGAAACGTGTCAAAAATATATAAAGTTGAATATAAACCAAGTGGAAAAGTATATATGAGTACTCATAACACCAAAACACACACAAACAAATATCTTGAAATGAACTATTAACACTCACCAACTCCAACGCGCATATTATTATTGCTTACACAGCCATAACCTTTATCATTGCCAGATCTAGGATTTCTATAGTTAGGTTTTAAAAAACCACACAAACACACACCACCGTAGGATTTTCTACATTTTGCATCGAAATTCGTACAAACTCTTGTATCATACGTACAGCCTTCGTTCCCAACACGAAAGCTGTCTAGAGCACCTCGATTGACCCAAACCACTTCACAGCCAGTCAAGACCACTTTGCAAGACAAGCAAATAACCCACACTAAAACAACTTTGTTTTTTAAAAACATATTTATCAAATACTAGTGACCACTTGGGAATAAACACGAATCCGTATCGTATTCCTTACAAAATACTGTATATCGAAGCTGACATTTTGTATTTAAGAGAATCGTGGGTATTTATCGAATATCGTCCTGTTTGAATTGATAAACACTCAGTTCTTGAAAGTGAAACAGCATGATATCACGTTTTACACCAAACCCTCATGGCAACAAACTTTCGATTAAACCGGATATCAATTCAATTATGTTTTAAGAGAATTATCTGACGAAGCCGAAGGCTCCCTGCTCGGGACGGCGTAATTTTTCATCAAATGGGCCTTATGCAGGTTTCCGTCCAATTTCCAGGAATTTCAGTTACAATACTGGACGTTTTATGTGCTAGTTGAAACATGAGCATATATATATATATATATATATATATATATATATATATATATATATATATATATATATATATATATATATATATATATATATATATATATATATATATAATTAATTCTTGTTGTCCGTAATTGAACGAAGAGTGCTCAATACCAATATACGATAGAGCTTAAATAATTCTTTAATCTTAAAATATATTTGTCGCTACACTGTGTTC